CCGGCATACGTGAAATGTGATTTTGTTTCCGACACTCTCTAATATGGCGAAAACTTTGTTTTGGCGAAGTTCCTGAAATATTCTAAACGATTCTAGAGGTATCGGCGACGTTTTAGACTTACCATTGGTGATTAGATACAGAACAGTTACCTTGGATCACAAATATGCATTTTTGGTACTCAACGTCTCAGAGTGAATATCCGATATCTAGATTAAAAAACATATACGAAATGGGAATGCTGATTTAGTAATAAGTAAGAAATGGCGAGATATGATGTACCTATTTTTCTCAGGTCGTTTTTAATTATATTACTTTGCAAAAATGACAGCGGATGATATCACATCGTCAGGTAGCTGTACAGATCCATATTGTGTCATGTTCACTTGACAGGGTGAACGCACTAGATTCTAACCTAACAAAGAAAATCGGATCGCTTCTGAATTGAACAGTCTAGATTTTAACCATCATGACAATTGGCTAAACCAAAACATGAACGGATCATTGTTTACAATGTTGTGAATAAAGTAGTGATTTAAAGAACTATTTGACATCGATGAACTGTACATTTATTCTAACGTGTGCCTCTGGACTCTATGGAGACAACTGTAACAAGAACTGTTCCTCTCGCCACTGTCTCAACCCTGTGGAGTCCTGTGCTTCTGACACGGGGGCGTGTTCTAGTTCAGAATGTCAAACAGGATGGGCAGGAACAGACTGCACAGGTGTGTTTGGTAACGTTGATGAGAATACCCCCTTCATTTTCGTTGATGGTACCAGTTAGTGCTTGCTCACAAAGTATCAGTGCTGCCTACTTTCAATACATTTTTGAAGATACAACGACACAAAATCATAACTATTGCTAAATCTTTATTCAATTACTATTGTATTGTGATGTGAACAAAATGTTCGAGTGTCAAAGTTAAGATTATGTTAACATTTTTTTTGTGTATTTATGCATTTTCACCCTCATCACTTCTAAAAGTTAATCATAAAGTCACTCAATTCTTTATGGACATGTAAAATGTGCCATACATCTGACGTCACGCAGGCGACCTGGGTTCGATTCCCCACATGGCTTCAATGTGTGAAGCACATACCTAGTGTCTTCCACTGTGATATTGATGTAATAAGACTAAACGCGGCGTAAAGCAAACTCATTCACTTACTCCCACGCATTTCATCAATGCAATAAAATGCGAAATTGGCCAAATTGCGTTTTTGGCACCCTTAAACCCTAAGTTCTTTACAAGATGAAGTCTTGTGGAGAATTTCAACTAAATATCATGTTTCCTCTTTGCGTCTGATAAAACTTTCACTGAGGGGAAAGACACAAATATCTAGGACCTACCTGATTCATATAACCAGTCATGCCACCACATTATTATTAATTAACAGCTGAAATGGATAGAAACTTTCTTTATTTTCCTTAACAACCTCATAAACAACGACAACTTATCAGGACATATTCATCCCAGTTTTGTTGGGAAATCAGCAAATGGCCACAAAGGATGAATGACAAATCAGCAAATTATTTTGAAATACACGTTTCGATTTACGACGAAAAAGGTCAATACAATGGGTCAAATAACGGACAGAAGCATCATGCCCTACAAGATATATCAGATGTCAGTATTCTATTTCTTTATTCAACGCCGACATAAGTATTCAAATTTCCTCCACGTTAAACCGGCCTTTTCGCTTGGACATGTGGACACATGGTACAAGGTACTAGTTCAACCCGCTCCATCCAGCTTCGTAACACCATTTCCTGCTGCATGGCTTCAATTCGCCCAGAATAACGAAAAATCACGTCATTGCCGTGTAGAATAATGCGCTGAAAACGAAGCTCGGCCTCGAGCTTGGATTTCGAGATACAGACGCGCTAATGTAGGGATCAGGGCAGCTGTTTGTTGCTTGTTAGACAACAATGACATCCCATATGAATGTATTGATGTCAATAAGTACTTTGCGTGGCGATTTTTTAACATGTTTCACAACATGTTTTTGTGTTAGTATTTATACAATATACTGATACAGCATAAGGAGACCAGACCGGGAACATTGTAGGATGTGGAAGATGGTGGTAATAACAACTTATTTATTATTTTTGTCTTAGTGAATATAGTGGTACCTTATTCTATCTAGTGAAATTATATGAAGGAAATCCGAATGATAAACATTACTTTATGGTCCTAACTGTGCCAGAGACTGCAGCTCTCGACATTGTAAGACATCTTCCGCAACATGTGAACGAGTTGGTGGACAGTGTCTGGGTGTTTGTCAGGTCGGATGGATGGGGGCGGACTGCAACGACAGGTAATGTGGAGACATTTAATGATGTATTACTCCACATACAATAATAGGCAGTCAACAAAACCTGATGCAATGTCGGTTTGCAAATACAGTCGGTATATCCCAGGTATTGGCGATCTATCAATACGAGCGTTCTATATTCCTCAGGGTCTTAGAGTAACCTTGAAGTTATTGCTTTGTCACGTCACGCTCTACAGGCGGGCTCGATTCCCAAAATGCATCATTTCTAGCCCAGTGATACTGTCTTATCACCATGGTATTGTTGAAATGTTGCCAATTGTAGCCTCAAAACCCTATTCACCCATGCACTATTTTTTTCTTTTTCCAGACAGTTGTTCAGGGAATATCATGGCGTTTTTCATGTAGCATTTTTTTTTATCTACATGCTGTTTCAGTGAGAAATTTATGTGTTTTGAAACATTTGATTCCAGTACGAAATGACATATTCGTTAAAGGAATGCGCACAAACCAATAGTGTAGTTACACACGAATTGGTCCTGAACGTATAAAGACATTGTATTTTGGTAATGATTAGACTTGTACCTAATTATAAAATGGATAGAAACTGTTCTCATCATACTTAACAACAAACCAGAAATCTTTTGTACAGAATTAAGTTGTGACGGGCATCCTATCAACACTTGGCATGTAGATAAGACGTCTGTATGTCATAAAAGGTATATATAGATATGAGATATTGGGATATGGACCTCTTGAAGCATGATACCTGTTATTTGAGAGATTTAAAAAAGGCTAAGTATATTCTACGTGTAAAAATGTTTTTGCCATAAATAATATTTCCATAACGCAGTTCACATGGTATAATTTAAGAATATTGCAATTCATATTTTTCTTACATTTGATACGTCTTATCGTGTGTACATCATCATTTGAGAATAATTGTATTTAGTAAAATTCATATCTTTAAACACTGCCGCCGTATGATTTTGCCCTTCCACTTGCATTGAATTGAAGAATATTTCAATGATAAACTAAACAAAAAATCATTGAGATGAATGTGACCCAGACGAAACATACATGTAGGGGAAGCTGGGAGGTTTAACAACAATAATGTATTGGACAAAGTGTACCTCGGGCGACTGCACATTTACAAAGGGAAACCACTCTCATCCAGGGTTTGATCAACGACGTGCTGCCTTCAAGTTATCCACGGTCGGGCCATTACTACAACATAGACAACTATAGACACCATACTTTTTTTTAAAGATTCCCTTGATTATGGAAAATGTGTTTTTATTTTGACGCATCTTTCCGCCTAGAGTTGGGTGGGAATGGTACTTTTAGCTATCGACGTCATAGTTATGTGGGTCACTACCGTAATCAATTATAAAGTGAAATCTGTAATGGGATCTTCGTGTTGTTGAAGTGCCGGTTATTTATATGATACATTCAATTTCCACTGCTGTATAAGACACAGGACTCGAACTCACTCACAATAATTACAAATATACATCCACATATACTTCCATAAAGAGTTTTTGATGCTTAATATATAGACATCCCAATTACATTATTGTGAAATATGTTCTCAATTTACAAGAACACTGGGAAAGTAGTGGGTATGTAGTTCACCACTCTGTTGAACAGTATTTCAGTTATAGCAAGGCGTTAGAGAATTGACGAAGGGCGAAAGACAGAAGTGGTGCAGGTCTTGCACTTTACCACTTTGATGAAACCCACCAGCACGGGTATGGTGTTCACAAACCCAGAGTGAGTGAGCGAGAAAAAAATTGACGTTTCATCGGCATTACGTCAGCCATACAGCGTCGACAATCCCAGAAACAAAATCAGAGTAAACCGGTTTCGAATTATGTAACATAGGTTTCTGGCCTTCCCAGGAGACGGAACTCTGCACAACGAATTTCGGCGGTTTAGACAACTGGGCCACCCGTGGCCCCAACTGTAATATTTCGTATTGCAATATTAAACAGTGGTCTTGTTATTCATCATTTATTACGAATCAATCAAACAACTGATTTACACTTTGATTATAAAAATAGCTCATTAACTTGGTAGGTTTCGGTGCTTTGGTACATGTAAATGCTGTGTTCCAGATTCTACTGCATATGGGATAAATACTCTTTTGTCATGCAAAACTTATGCTGCCATATTACATTCGGTATTTTCTGTCAGTGCCTGTTTTCCTGAAAGGACGTTTTTAACATTTTCAGGCAAAAAAATATTTTTTGAGTAAATCTTCGGCATAGATATTCTTCGAAAACTTCCAGGAACCCCAAAGAATATTTATTCGTCAAGTCCCTACATCGATGAAATTCGTGGTATATACTAGTATACAATATGCAGGTTTATCATGATCAGAGACCGGGCTGTGTACATCGTAAGACGTTAAGGGTGGTGCGAAAACAACTTAGTTATATATGTTTCTTATTGGTAAAAAAATAAAAATTCTCTTTACAACAAATATTTTCAGTGAATAATATAATTTAAACACGTACTGTTTATAGAAGTTATCGATTAATGCTGTGAACGTGTATTTTCCTTTCAAACAATGCTTCACAACCTCGTCAGATTTAAATTGTTTTATTTATTGTGATATAGTTTCTTGCAGCTGTTTGGATTGTTAGTTGTATTGCAGAATTCACCATAAGGCTGTTGCAATAATACTTATTATTCTCAAATGGTAAAACGAAGTTCTTTGATGCAGTGCCTGTAAAGTGCTCTGATGGAAGGTACGGACCAGGATGCAGTCAGGTCTGCAGTTCCCGCAACTGTATAACACAATCATTTGTGTGTGACGTCACTGGAACATGCCCAAATGGATGCCGGGATGGCTGGCAGAATGTTGACTGCAGGACACGTGAGAATTAATTTACTGGTCTTTTTTTCAGTTGTACAAATATTGCCAGTTTATTCAATTAAATAACATGCTAATATAATCTAATTGAATTGAATTGATTATGAGGTAAATAATGAATAGTTCAACGGCGTAATAATCGCTCAGCAGATGACATACAATTCATAACGCATTTCTCCTTCTTTTAAAGCATTTTTGCTTAAATATTTAACCAAGGAAACACATGTACAGATACATGTCTGCTGATTGTCCAATTTCCTGATCTTTAAGCATGCCCGAGCGGGAAGTACGGTTCTAACTGCAGCAAGTCTTGTGATTCACGTCAATGTGAAACTGCACAGACCACCTGTGATCACGTGACAGGAACCTGCACTGCAGGATGTCGAGAAGGATGGATCGGAGCAGACTGTACTGAAAGTAATGTTTCCTTAACCATGAGCTTTATTTGTAATATACTCGGAAAAAAGTGCATAGGTGATATTATTGGATAATATATGAAAGTTATTTGTACATAGATGACAATTATGTAGTCACAAAATTGCTATTTAACAAATAATGTCTATGTTAATAACTGGACAGGGCAATAACGAAATTTATAACCAAAATATAACAATGCAGAAAAGTAACACAACATAAGAACCACGAGATCAATGCATGTGCCTATTGTGCACGAGAAATATGAATAAGATCATAAACGGTGTGGGTTCTCGGTTGTATGTTGGCAACTGTCCAAATACAATGTCATGCAAAGACTTACAGATCCGAAGGAGAACGGTATGGGGAATCGTAGTTGGTTGTAATGTGAAAATTTGTCCCGGGTTCGTGATTGCACAAATAGCATGGCACGTCACAGTACAGACTCAGGTCAGGCCGACCCTTGTGACAACGGCTGCCTTGGCAAATGTGTGCAACATAGGCAACAGGCACCGTCAGGATTGTCAGGATAATAGTTCAAATAGTGTGTAAACACCTTGTGAGGCAGGTCCCATTGCCAGACGGCCTGTCAGAGGTGTTGTTGTGATAGAACAATGTAGTCAACAGCGACGTTAATGTTCAAGAACGAAGACTATGTCCAAACCAGTGATGAAGAATTGTTTGGTTCAACAACCAGTCACTAATTTCGCTGCATCAAATCCTTGTGTTATTTTCATATTGGAAGTGACTTGTGTTTGCAATATTTCGTTTGTTAGTGGTTTGACGCCGCACTCTTTGACGTCTGTACATAATCGAGTCTGGACCATACAATCCAGTGATTGAGATCGTGGGCATCGATCCACGCAATTTGGATACGATGACATGCATCAACAAAGTCAGTGAGCCTGACCACCCGATCCCGTTAGTCGCCTCTTACGACAAGCATAGCATGGCATGGGTTACTGATGAAGGCGTATTTTACTCCGGATCTCAAGGGTAGTTTGCCATATACCGTATGTCGTGGATGCATATGCACACAAATAAATCTGGTTATGAGCTTCCTTTATGGGAAAGTATATCAGAGTGGAGATATTAAGACCCGAACGTTACTCCAGGCACCCCGCGTAGCTTTCTATCCATGAATTGCTGCACATCACCACTGTTTTAGATTAGCTTCATATTTGTTGAAGAGGCGCATCTACCCGTGAGAATTCCGTTTAAGAATACTAGTTCCCTCATCCTATGCTTGTTTTAAGAGGCGAGCAAATGACTCTGCTAGTCAGGCTCGGTTGCTTGGATGTCATCGTATCCACACTGCGTAAATCGATGCTCAAGATGTCAATCAGTGGATTGTCTGGTCAAGCTTCGCTTTTTTGCTGTCATTTAGTTGGAATATTGTCAAGTGCGGCCGTAAACAACAAACAATTAGTCACTTCAGTGGCACGAATGCATACATTGGTCTGCATAAATATTGCAGAATTGATACAAATGTCTTTCAGCAATGACAGGCGGTAATAGCGTGACAATACTAGTGGTACATTTTATGCAAATTCATCTTAATATATAAGTAATATTATAATCATATGTGACCCGACAGGAGAAAAGGGATTTTATGGGTGTTGGGAAACAATTGTGCCGTGACGTCATAATGAAAGACGTTTGGTTACTTCCACCATAATCGCCATTTGTGCGGGACTGTACAGAAATATCTTCCTTATTTTCTCGCGTAACATAAAAGAACCCATCACTTTAAAACAATTCAGCATACATGTCAACTTTCAATGGATCAAACTGAGGCAATTATTACGTTAACATTAATTTGATCAGATCTGAAAGTAATATCAACCCTACGACAGTTGTTAGTGGAAATAAAACAACAAGACCAACATTTCCAATTTTCTGTCGCACAGATTGTCACGATGCTATCATGTGACCCAAGCCGATGTTGCTCAGGCAATCATTTAATGAATATATAATTCAATTATATATAGGACATGGCAAATAAAAGCTATTAATTTATTTGAGCTAGCTATAAGATGCAACATGAAATGTCAATGTTACTGGGCGCGAGAATATTTTCACGAAATTGCAATGGTTTCTGTTGGCACTTCCGGTACTTGCGGTAAATAATATGTCGAGTCAACTTCCTCGCTTTACGATCAATTGCCACAGAATTGTCAGTTAAAGTGGACGAGGGAAATTTTGGAAAATATTCTTGAGGTGCGGAAAATATATTTTAATCCTCGGAATTAAGTGGACGGAGCAAGTATTTATTATATTTCGAGTCGTGATATCACTGCAAACACGAAAACGTCGTTTTTTTCCGTATATGGTCATTGGACGGAAAAACGACGTTATTTGGACGTTTTCAAACCATCGTTTTTCCGTCCAAATAACGTCGTTATTTGACATCGGAATTGACTGGGAGAGAACGATAGCGTTAAGCTCCTCCCTTTCTTGATTGACATTGTCAATCAAGCAACAGCGTCTACCGGTATTTCTACTTCTCAGATTTCATTGGTCAGTCCCCGCGTGTTAGATTACAGGCCCGCGTTTGACGCTGCACTCGAAGCGCTTAGCGGAAGTACTGAAATCAATCGTTCTGCGCATGCGGATTACTTAATGCCTTGACCAAATTTTCCGTTCTGTGCATGCGCGATTTCGCGTATTGTTTCCTAGATTTAATGTCACCACTATTTGACAATGGTTCATAAACACAGTCACGTGAAGGTTCGGAATCGTAACGAGTAACTCCATTTAAATTGAAGAGGATCCCCAGTGATATGGGAGATTCCAAGATGAAACTATTCTATGGCTATCTAGGCTGCCACCCAAACCGATCTAAACGGGACCCGATAGCTTATTGTATGCTATATAGTCATATGGAAGTGGACAAGAACTATACATTGTATTCCGGCCGATTGTTCTTGCATTTACTTATAAGTCAGGAAAATGGACTTAAAAGGGGAGTTGTTGAATTTAATTGTTTTAATTATTAAATGTTGCCTATACACTAATCTGAACGAACTTCTCATTGCTCTGTTTATGTCATCCTATATACTATAAGAATGTTACCGTTCTAAAGTCAACCTCTCACATAACATTATATTGTTCATAGTATCAAAGTTAAATCAACAATATCAAGAGCAGCGATTTAAACCACTGAAACACCCAAACACAAGGCTGTTATCAAGCGCTAGTGCAGACGTGATGCATCGTAAAAACTGTATCGTGATGTCTTCAGAAATACAATTATACTACGAGATAGTACGGCTAACGCTGACTCACCGGTGGAACAAAGACAATATCGCTAATACAGATATAACGTATTTGAATGTTAATACTAAAGACAAACAATCATTATTTTTGCAGTGACGATATAACACGTATACACGTTTATTGTTAACTTTCATCAGTTTTGCTCTTCATTTTAATAACTTTGTTTTCACATATATATGTAGCAATACCCGACAAGCATGTCATACATAATTATGGGGCAGTTTTCAATCTTGTACTGACTTACTCTGGTGTTAATGAGCGAAGTTTATTGGCTTGTGTGTAAAACCCCGTTTTTCTGGTAATCCTATTATTACTTAGTTTATTTCTATCTAATGACACCCTGTTCTCTGGATCATGGCTCCGTGACTATCCATAACTTAATTAAGATGAACATTCGGTTCAAGTAAATGAATGAGTTTGTTTTGACGCTACAGTCAGTCAAAAAACCAATGCTGTGAGGTTTGATAACACACTTCTACCAGGTCGAACATCGTGGATCCTCATTTTCTGCACACACGCACACACGCACGCACGCACACACACACACACACACACACACACACACACACACACACACACACACACACACACACACACACACACACACACACACACACACACACACAACTGACCTAAACAACCTGGACAGGAAATACTGCTGATAGCCTCTGGTCAACTCAGCCGCGCCACCGCAGAATGTTCGTCCAACTCTGCAGGGGGCATTCTCAGTGGCTTCAAAGGCGCTGAAATGTTTTCGCCTTGCATCCAAGATGGTGGACAAGTGAAATCGTATGAAATTTGGCTATTTTAGGTCCTATCTCTTTTTTGATTACCCAATAAAGTCAATTCATAGTTACACGGTTGTGAAGAAGCTTACAACTTTATTAGACTTATTCATCTCATTCCAAAAAAGCTACTCGCGCTCACATAAAGTTGTAGTTATTACGTCACTGTTTTATTTCTTTAAAAATATATTACATGTTCAACAATAACAATTAAGATGAACATTCAATTTCCGATATAAGTAAATGAATAAGTGTGTTTTACGCCACAATCAGTCAAAGACCAACGTTGTCCGGTCTGATGACACACAATCTACCAGATAGCACATTGTGTACACCCTATCCCCATTGAAGTCTCCACTGTGGGTATTCCTGGGGACGAAAAGGCCCCATGTACCTAGGAATTTCATCAATACATTCATGCGCGGCATTCTCTGCCTAAAGAAGATCATATAGTTAACATGCTAATCCAACTCGAACTACCATCCCGCTCAAGATGAATGTTTTATGTAACATCCAACAGGCCCACATTTACGCACGCACGCACGCACGCACGCAAACACACATATTTGGATTTACCAATCCCTGAATTGAGAAGACGTGCGTTACGAAGCTCCTCCAAGTCATCATCAATATCCGTATATGTCTGTGATATCATTACCCATCCAAAGCCGAATATACATTTATTGTGTTTTCTTGACAACTAATGTTATAATTGGGATAACACTTTCTGAGTAAAGTACAGAATCTCGTACTTTCTTGGGTTGAGTCCCGTCCGGGATTTGAACCCACACTGTGAGTGAGGCACCCAATCGCCAGAACACAAAGTAGGCGATCTAACCCAGCCATCGAACCAAAAATGTTAGTCCAGATGACGTATACTTTGTGTACTCCTCTGACAAGAGAGAAATGGCACGGCTTCTATGACCGAAAGCTTTGAAC